TTTTTTTTTTTTTTTTTTGAGGCAGAGTCTCACTATGTCTCCCTTAGTAGAGTGCTGTGGCGTCCCAGCTCACAGCAACCTCAAACTCTTGGGCTTCAGTGATTCTCTGGCCTCAGCCTCCCAAGTAGCTGAGACTACAGGTGCCTTCCACAATGTTCGGCTATTTTTTTGTTGCAGTTGTCATTGGTTAGCTGGCCCGGGCTGGGTTCGAACCCCCCAGCCTCTGTGCATATGGCTTGTGCCTTAACCACTGTGCTACGGGTACTGAGCCAATTAGGCTTCTTTTTAAGAAGTAGTTTAAACTAAGTCTATTAAAATCAAGTTTCACTGGCTCGGTGCCTGTAGCTCAAGTGGCTAAGGTGCCAGCCACATACACCTAAGGTGGCAGGTTTGAATCCAGCCCGGACCACCAAAACAACAGTGACAGCTGCAACTAAAAAATAGCCAGGCGTTGTGGCGGGCGCCTGTGGTCCCAGGTTCTTGGGAAGCTAAGGCAGGAGACTCGCTTGAGCTAGGAGTTGGAGGTTGCAGTGAGCTGTGATGCTACAGCACTCTATACCCAGGGGGGATAGCTTGAGGCTCTGTCTCAAAAAAAAAAAAATCAAGTTTCACTGATGGAGAAACTTTTGGTGGTGTGCCCAATTAGGTCTAAGCTTAATATGTAATTGTCTGGAAAACATTTTAATTTTAAAGGACCTCATTAGGCAAACGTTCTATGTGTATGTAATCTGTTTCCTTTTTAAAGCTTTAAAAAAAGCATAATGGAGGGTGGTGCCTGTGGCTCAAGGAGTAGGGTGCCAGCCCCAAATACTGGAGGTGGTGGGTTCAAACCCGGCCCTTGCCAAAAACTGAAAAAAAGAAAAAAAGCATAATGGAAGTATAGGCCTCTTTGTTTCTACTTAAACTGAATTTAAAAGTAAAATTTATCCATTAAACAATAATTTAACTTTTTTTGTGGATTTTTTTTTTTTTTGAGACAGAGCCTCAAGCTATTGCCCTGGGTAGAGTGCTGTGGCATCACAGCTCACAGCAACCTCCATCTTCTGGACTTAAGTGATTCTCTTGCCTTAGCCTCTGAGTAGCTGGGAATACAGGTGCTTGCCACAACACCAGGCTACTTTTTCACTGTAGCTGTCATGGATGTTCTGCTTGTCTGGCCGGGTTCAAACCCACCAACCTCCGTGTATGTAGCTGGTGCCATAATTACAGTGCTATGGGTGCTGAGTCTAAAGTTTTTAATTTTTTACCCCTCTTCACAAAGTTTGTCTAGTTTTCTTCTTAAAATAAATTATTCACAATAATAGTGTTAGTACTCACTAAATAATGATTAAAACTACCTCTCTGGAATTTTCGAGTGCTAGAAAATTGTGAGGATCATTTGTATTTTGTGTTTGCATAGTTTCACAAAGGAAGAGCATTTAAATATAATAGATAAAATAATAAATAGTGTTCGAAGGGTTATTTACAAGATGACAAAAACTTATTCTTTTTTTTTTTTGGTACAGATAGAGTTTCACTGTATCGCCCTTGGTAGTGTCGTAGAGTCACACAGCTCACAGCAACCTCCAACTCCTGGGCTTAAGTGATTCTCTTGCCTCAGCCTCCCGTGTAGCTGGGATTACAGGTGCCTGCCACAACGCCTGGCTATTTTTGTTGTTGTAGTTCGGCCGGGGCCTGGTTTAAACCCGCCACCCTTGATATGTGGGGCTAGCGCCCCACTCACTGAGCCACAGGTGCCGCCCCCCAAAACTTATTCTTTTCCCTCATTCCACTCCATATTAAAAAAAACAAAATTAAAGCCTAAGCTGAACCTTTCTCATATATACTCCCTACAAATCCTCCTGTACTTAGAATCCTTCATGCTAACTCGCTTTCAGAAAAACGGAAGGTTCAACTTGGCCTTGGTACAAACAACATTGTTATAATTTTATTTTCTTTTAATTATTTTGTTTTGAGACTAGCATATGTAAGTGGGAGAGAGAGCAATCTTCACTGAATTAAAAACTGGGAGGAATGTTAGAAGCCATCTAGTTCAACCCATTGACACTTTAGTAGGTGGAACGTTTTATTGGTTGGCAACTCTAATCATGAAAAACGTTATGAGTTATAAATTTTGTTTCTGGTCTTGGTGCCTGTAGCTCAAGCGGCTAAGGCACCAGCCACGTACACCCAGAGCTGGCAGGTTTGAATCTAGCCTGGGTCTGCCAAACAACAACTACAACCAAAAACAAAAATAGCTGGGCGTTGTGGCGGCCACCTGTAGTCCCAGCTACTTGAGAGGCTGAGGCAAGAGAATCGCTTAAGCCCAAGAGTTTGAGGTTGCTGTGAGCTGTGACGCCACAGTGATATCAGATTTTTAACACTGGATTTCCAGGCTCTTGGTCTTGATGATTCGATGAATGAATTGACAGACCATAGAATGAACAGTGAGGTTTTATTTACAGCTCAAAGAACCAAACCTCCTTGCAGGGCAGGATGCAAGTGTTACAACTCTTATGAAAACAACTCTTACAAAGGAGAATCGCTTAAGCCCAAGAGTTAGAGGTTGCTGTGAGCTGTGACGCCATGGGACTCTACCCAGGGTAACAGCTTGAGGCTCTGTCTCAAAAAAAAAAAAAATTTGGATTTCTTTAATATTGTTCCCCAAATCCTTAAAGTGTAGTTACACTCACATAGCTTGTTTTAGGTGGGGATTGTACTATCCATTGTAGAGGTCTCCAAGCAATGAGTATGGTAGAATTATAGAGGACATGTGAACATTTCAGAGTCAAGACATTCAGGCTCGGTGCCTGTAGCACATTGTTTACAGTGCCAGCTATATACACCAAGGCTGGTAAGTTCGAACCTGGCTGGGCGTGCCAAACAACAATGGCAACTACAATAAAAAAATAGCCTGTGGTCCCAGCTACTTGGGAGGCTGACGCAACAGAATCAGCTGCAGCTCGCTCAACCAATCACAGTTGGTTGCTGTGAGCTGTGACGCCACAGTACTCTATTGAGGGCGAAATAGTGAGACTCTCAAAACAAAAAAGTCAAGACATTCGTATACCTACATGAAAGTGACTAAAGTAAAAAACAAAATGTACGAAGATAGGATGCAACTGAATGCTGCTTATAAATAATTTTTCTTTGGGTAGTGTCGATAAAATGAATGCACAGAAATTTTATGGTTCAGGCGGCACCTATGGCTCAGTGAGTAGGGTGCTGGCCCCATATACTGAGGGTGGCGGGTTCAAACCCGGCCCCAGCTGAACTGCAACCAAAAAATAGCTGGGCGTTGTGGTGGGCGCCTGTAGTCCCAGCTACTCAGAGGTTGAGGCAAGAGGTTGAGCCCAGGAGTTGGAGGTTGCTGTGAGCTGTGTGACACCATGGCACTCTACCAAGGGCCACAAAGTGAGACTCTTGTCTCTACAAAAAAAAAAAAAAAGAAATTTTGTGCTCCTGTATTGGCTTAAATTATGTTTATTTTTTGAATTTTTTTATTATTTTATTTTGAGAGAGTCTCACTCTTGCCCTGGGTAGAGTGCAGTGGTGTCCTAGCTCACTGTAACCTCTAACTCTTGAGCTCAAGTGATTCTCTTGCCTCAGCCTCCCAAGAGCTAGAATTACAGGCATGAGCCACCCTGAGGGACCAAACTATCGTGTTTAATTGTAACTTTTTTTCCTTTTGTAGAGTGATGACATCATAGCTCACTGCAACCTCAAACTCCTGGGTTCAAGCAATCCTCTTGCCTCAGCTTCCCAAGTATAATAGCTGGGGCTACAGACATGGGCCACCAAGAATGGCTAATTTTTTTTATTTTTGGTAGAGAAGGGGTTCTTGTTTTGGCTCAGACTGGTCTCGAACTCATGGCTTCAAGCCATCCTCCTACCTGGGCCTCCCAGAGTGCTAGGATTACATGTGTAAGCCATCACACCCTATCTGTAACTCTTAATTTTCTCAATAAAACATTTGTATAGAACAACACACTTATTTACCATAATCATGTTTTAATTTTCTTAGAACTATCCAAGTTTATTGTGGTTTTAGATAAGTTGTTGCTCATTTGGCTCATAATTTCATTTACTTTTCTAATTTAAAGTTGATATTTAAAGCTGTTGGCAATTGAATGCTTGTACCAAGCTCTATTTCTTTCTTTCTTTCTTTTTTTTTTTTTTTTTTGAGACAGAGCCTCAAGCTGTCCCCCTGGGTAGAGTGCCGTGGCATTAAAGCTCACAGCAACCTCCAACTCCTGGGCTCAAGCGAGTCTCCTGCCTCCGCCTCCCAAGTAGCTGGGACCACAGGCGCCCACCACAACGCCCGGCTATTTTTTGGTTGCAGCCGTCATTGTTGTTTGGTGGGTCCAGGCTGGGGATTCGAACCCGCCACCTTAGGTGTACGTGGCTGTTGCCTTAGCCGGTTGAGCTATAGGCGCCGAGCCCCAAGCTCTATTTCTTATAGTGAGAGACTTACCACTTGGCACTTTTGCCCAGATTTTTAAAAGAACTATTAATTAATGTATGTACCAGATTCCATTTGAATTGTGTGTGTATGTACTTTCATACTGTCATGTCCATGGCAGGGGTGAAAATAGTTTAAACAACCTACTATTGCCACAGTTGAGCGTGAAGTGATTTTCTAAAGATGTTGCTGAAGTGAGCACCTACGGTGAATCAATTTAATGCTGTGTCATGCACACAGGAAACCAATAAACCTGGTGTTTTTTCTTTCTTTTTTTTTCTTTGAGACAGAATCCTACTGTGTTGCCCTCAGTAGAGTGTTGTGGTGTCACAGCTCAAGTCTCCCAAGTGGCTGGGACTATAGGCGCCTGCCACAAGGCCCGGCTATTTTTTGGTTGCCCTTGTCATTCTGTAGATGATCCAGGCGGGGCTTGAACCTGGCAGCCTGGGTTGTGTGGCCGGCAGTCTACTCATTGAGCTACGGGTGCAGAGATGACCTGGTATTTCTTTTAAGTTACCAAAGATCATTTCCTCTCTGCCCCAGTTCAGGTGGACAACCGTCAAATATTGGTGACTAAGAGATTATCTAACCAATACAACTAGAGCCTGCGGTTGTATGCATATTCACTGTTGTATAAATAGAAAACACTCAAGAGCTACTCAAGCTTGGTTGCTTTAAAGCAAACCTATTCAAGATCGGAAAGCCAAGTGAAGATTTTCACTCGTTTTTCTCTGAATGCCCAACTACATTTCTGTGAAATGATACGGATTATTTTTCTAAACAGACTGTTTTCCCAGTATTTTCATACTCAAAGTCTCCTGACATAGGAATAAAAATATGGTCTCTTGTTGAAACTTTTCTTGTCCACAGCGTAGTTATGAAAACTTGAGGGAAGGATGAGACGTCTTCCTCATTCCCAGCGCCCTTTTCTTTGCTTTCTGACTTAAAATAATTCCAGTCGACTTACATCGTATCTGTTGTGCTGCTTCCATTTAGGTTAATTCCAGGCCACATACAAACATGCAGTCCTTATAAAAGTTAGGTGAAGACAAAACTTTTCTTACTAAAAGCGGTTTCACAGGAGAACGAAGTGCATGAAAAAGCTTTCTGGACATTGAAAAACATCTGGCTGAAACACAGTTGAAAATCCACAAGAGGGAGATGCTTGTTAAACTGCCAGAAAATAACTCCCGGGAGGGAACGGATAGAGGTGCCTTAGGAAAAGCAGGGGTCTGCCAGGCACTGAAGCGCCTGGAGGGAGCTGGTGTATACAGTGGCGGGGGGCTGATGAAGGAGTACAGCTGAATGTAAAAGCAGGAGGGGCTAAGTGATTCTGTCAGCGAAGCCGGTTCCAGGTCTAAGACCGTGAGTAAAAACCGTCTGGCCAAAGAGAGAGCGCAACGCTCCTAAGCTGCTTCTGGGTAGTCCCAGAAGTGTGGGTGGGTGTCTCTGAAGCCACTTCCGCTTAGCAACCCCACGCGGTTGCTAAGGAGGGGCAGCAGTGGGGATAGCCCGGAAGTGGTGGTGTCAATCTCTCGCTGTCTGCCCTAGGTTTGTCCTATCAAGAGGCCAGAGAGCCCAGCGGTTCCTGGCAGAGGGCGGGGCCAATGCTAGTGGTTCCGGTTCGGCTCTTGCAGCCCCTAGGTTTCTGCCTTCCTCCTCCCCTCCTCCTTCTCTCTTCCCTCCCGCTCTTGGGAAAGAGAAGCCACTGCTGCGAGTGGGTAGAGAAGCACTCGGCGCCTCCGGGTGGGGACCATGCTTGCCCCATTTGAGCCCCGGAACACGGCCGGACCAGGTACTTGCTCCGGCTTCTACGGGTCCGGGAGGCTGGAGTGAGAGGGTGTGTGTGGGTGTGGGTGTGCGCGCGCGCGCGCGCGCGCGTGTGTCTGAGGAGAAATGGGGTGGGGGGGCCCTTTCCTGGGTCCGGGCGGAGACACTGGGATCCCGGGTGGGGCACAGGCGCGCGAGTGTGTCTGTCGGGGATTGTGGGGGCGGTATGGAGGGGCTGGGTGGGGGACACTGCGAGCGGAGAGTTTCGAGTGGCGGAGTAGAGGCAGGCAGAGGAGGCTAAAGACTTCGGCCAGTGTGGATCGGGAGTTTGCCACCTGGAGGGCTCGTTCTAAAAGAGGGAATATCCTTTGGGGCCAAAAGGAGGGCATGGACTCTGCAGGGTGGCTGGGGCAATTTCATGCTTCCATTGCTCATTTTCCCTACTCCCTGCTTTGGGACAGAGGCGGGCTTCGTGGGTTGTAGGGGCTCTGAGTCGGCTGGGCACCGCGGGGAGCCGCCCTTGGCAGAGCTAGGGCAGAAGAGTGGGTAATAAGACCTCCCTGTACCCAACTTCCGTGCGCTTCCCCCACTTCTTCCTTTACTGCTCCTTCGCCCCCACGTCCTTTAAGACCGGTGTCCCCCGGTTGGGCAGTCATTACTGCGTAAAAGAAAGACGATGGAACTGGGTTTGTTCTTTCTAAGTGGTACTTAGGAAAAGAAAAATAAATGGTACTTAGATGTTTAGAAAGTGCCTTAATGGCGTATTCAGCTAAGTCTCCTATCCTGATGCTTAAATCTGGTGTAAATTATCTTAGGAAAGTGCAATTATGAAAAGCACCTAACTATAGGCTAATCAGGTGTAGCCTTGTAGAGTAGGTGTTCCTTTTTGTTAAAAAAAAAATAGACTGTGGAAACTGTATAGATATAGAGGTCTAGGCAAGACATGTTGAGGCAAGTCTTTTCCGATCTCTTTCTTACATTCTAAGTAAACCTGCCCTAGTTTAAATGAAGTAGAAAGATCCTCTTTTATGTTTTAGTCAATGACTGAATTGTAGGTACTGTGTAGTGATGGGTCTCTCCGAATAGATAATGTGAACGCTCAGAGAGAAGAGACTCACAGCTTTTGAGCCTGTGTCTCTTAATCTGTTAAGGAGATAATTGTGGTAAAGTTGAAGTATTGGCCTGTGGCGTATAAATTGAATCCAGACTGTGTCAGTGCTAGTTGTTGACCTTGGGTGAGTCATGGAACCCACCCAAGCTTCAGTTTTTCCTAAGTAAAATGAATTAAAATTTTTATCTGTATTAAAAAGGGGGTGATGTGCTTAAATAACAGCCAATTTTAAATGGAAACACCTTGGAATTGCAAGGTGAATTGTTATCATTAATTGTACAAAGCCCAGGTAGCCTAGTTTTGGGAAATGAAATTTGAGATAGGAAGAAAACTGGATAATAATATTACCAAACATATGTATACAATAGGACTTTCAATGGCTTGTAGAAAATGATCATAAGTAGTAGGAAATTTAATTACTAGAAGTTTATTAAAATTTATGAATAATAATATGAAATGACCAAAATGTGTTTTATAAGTTTTTTTCAGATATACCATACTAGTGTAATTCAGTATGGGTTGATGTGAAATATATTTGAAAAGTGATGTATGCAAATTTTAATTAACATCATATATGTCTTTAAAAAGAATTAAAATGGGATGTAAAATAGAAAGTAATTGTAATTTTAAGATAAAATTAACATCAAACTGAGCTTAGTGGCTCATGCCAGTAGTTCCAGCACTTTGGGAAGCTGAGGCAGGAGGGTGGCTTGAGCCAAGGAACTTAAAGTTAAACTGAGGTGTGATCAGGCTGTTGCACTGCAGCCTGGATGAAAGAATGGGACCCTGTCTTTAAACAAAACAAAATGAAATCACTCATTTCAATTAGAGAGCACTGCTCATCTCTATTAGATTAAACTTATAGAATTCATATTGCAGATATAATATTCTGTAAAATAAATATACAAGAAACATGAAGTCTTTATATTCATTTGTTTTTGTGGATTTAAAATAATCGAGTTATATGTGGCCTATTATATGTCAGATTTTTAGCTAACATAGTTTCCTTTTTTTTTAGAGACAGAGTCTCACTTTGTAACCCTTGGTAGCATGCTGTGGCGTCACAGCTCACAGCAACCTCCAGCTCTTGGGCCCAGGTGATTGATTCTCTTGCCTCAGTCTCCCTAGTAGTTGGGACTACAGGTGCCCGCCACAATGCCCATGCCCAGCTATTTTTTTGTTGCAGTATGGCCGGGGCTAGGTTTGAACCTAACACCCTTGTTATATGGGGCCAGTGCCCTACTCAGCCACAGGCACTGCCCTTTTTTTTTTTTCTTTGACAGAGTCTCATTCTGACACCCTGGATAGAGTACCATGGTGTCACATCTACACAGCAACCCTTGGGCTCAAGTGATCATCTTAATCTTAGCCTCCCCAGTAGCTGGGACTACAGGTGCCAACCACAATGAGTGGCTACTTTTTTCTATTTTTGGTAGAGATGGGTCTCGATCTTGCTTAGGTTGGTCTCAAACTCCTGAGCTCAGGCTGTCCACCCACCTTGGCTTCCTGAAGTGCTAGAATTACAGGTGTGAGCCACCTTGCCTGGCTTCCATAGTTTACTTTTTGACAAAACTTTCAGTTAGTAATTTTAATTTTAAAATGTATTTTATACTCAAAGGACAAAAATCAAATTAACTATAATGATAGTTTTTTTTAATTTGTTTATTTTTTGGGACAGAGCCTCAAGCTGTCGCCCTGGGTAGAGTGCTGTGGCATCACAGCTCACAGCAATCTCCAACTCCTGGGCTCAAGCAGTTCTCCTGCCTCAGCCTCCCAAGTAGCTGGGACTACAGGTGCCCATCACAACGCCTGGGTATTTTTTGGTTGCAGCCGTCATTGTTGTTTGGTGGGCTTGGACTGGATTCGAACCTATCAGCTCAGGTGTATGTGGCTGGCACCTTAGCTGCTTGAGGCACAGGCACCAAGCCAATGATAGTTTTTTGGTGTAAATACAAAGTTTGTGATTTGGTGAAACTTTTTAGGGAGGTTTATAGGTTTTGCATAAATTTGAGAGAATTTTTCAAATTTCTTTCCCATGCCTCTTTTATACAGAACTGAAATCATGTTTGTTACAATTACAGCTTTTTGGTAAGATTATCCAGCTTTCTAAATGGCTCTTCTGAGAGTGTAAAACCTTTAAATATCTAAACTTTTTGCTACATTTTCTTTTATCATTATTTTTCCTTTATCATATTATCTTGCTTTGGTAAAGCTGTCAAAGGCTCCCGTTTTCCCCTGTCTTCTCATAAAACTTCAACAGTCCACTAATTTTGATATAAGAGATAGGGTACTAGTTGCTAGATTAAAAAGCTCTTTTTAAATTACAATATATGCAACAAATAGAGATTGTTACTAGTGATACTTTTATTGATGGTGACCTATCCACTCAAAGTTATGACCATTCCAAAGATCTTTACAGTTGTCAGGGAATTTGCTTGTCAGGAAATCTAAAAATGACTAAACCTTTCTTTAATATCTTATCACTTGGCTGACCTCAGAAAGTTCTAGGAACGATTGAGAAGGTATGTATATATATATATATATATATGCCATATGCTAGAATGTTATAATGAACAAAGTAAAGTTAATTTTTTTTACTTACTATGTCACCCTTGGTAGAGGGCCATGGCGTCGCAGCTCATAGCAACCTCAAACTCCTGGGCTCAAGTGATTCTCTTGCCTCAGCCTCCCAAGTAGCTGAGACTACAGGCACCTGCCACAACACCTGCCATTTTTTGTTGCAGTTGTCATTGTTGGTTACCTGGCCTGGGCTGGGCCGGGTTCGAACTGGCCACCTTCAGCGTATGTGGCTGACACCATAACTACTGTGCTACGGATGTTGAGCCAAAGTAAAGTTAATTTTATTGGTGATATCAAATCAGTAGTGCAAGATTATTGTGGAAATGTTAAAAAATATTAGGCAGTGCTTTTTTTTTTTTTTT